TTCGAGCTTGTCCAAAAGAATCTCACCTAATTACAGTAAAACATATCTTAAAATATTTAAAAGGAACTACTGGTTTTGGTTTATGGTATCCATCTGATGCTTGTACTAGTTTAATAGGATATTCTGATGCTGATTATGGTGGATGCAAAATTGATAGGAAAAGAATTAGTGGGACATGTCATTTGTTAGGTTCATCCTTAGTATCGTGGCATTCTAAGAAACAAGCTTGTGTTGCTTTATCTACCACTGAGCTGAATATATTGCAGTTGGTAGTTGTTGTGCTCAAATTCTGTGGATGAAACAACAGCTAGAAGATTATAGTATATTTTTAAATGACATACCTTTGATGTGTGATAATACGAGTGCAATTAATCTGACTAAGAATCCAGTAATGCACTCTAGGACTAAGCACATAGAAATTAGGCATCACTTTTTGAGAGATCATATCAGCAAAGGGAACTGTAAAATAGAATACATTGATACAAAGCATCAATTAGCAGATATTTTTACTAAGCCTCTACCCAAAGATAGATTTTATGATCTTAGAAGAGACTTAGGGATATTAGAAATAGCTTAAATTCTGCTTATTGTGACAGTTTTTGGATGATTGTAACGTTAAAATTCATTATACAGGATGTTCATAGTTTATCATGTGTTAAAACCTCAAAAATATGATGTACTCTCCGGAATAATCGATTAATTGGAGTTATAATCGATTATTTGCATCCAAAACACTCAAAACAGGGCATTCCTCTCTGGATTAATCGATTAATTAGCCAATTAATCGATTAAATACAACATTAATCGATTAACTGCACAATTTAATCGATTAATTGGTTCTGGCACTAGTTTAATCGATTAATCTGAGTTTTAATCGATTAAACCTGGCAAGTTTGGCTTCCTAGCCGTTGCCAACGGATCTCTTGACCTGTATTCACTTCCATATGACCGTTGGACATGCTTGATTATAAATAGGGGCCTCCATATCACCTCTACTCACTTCTATCTCTTGAAATCAAGCTTTCTTACCTTATTCTAGCTACATTGCCCTTTTCTCACTACACTTAGCTTTCTAAATCTTCTTGTTATTCCTCTAATCTTTCAATGGCCTCATCTTCTCGTGCTAAGATCCCTACTAGAAGAAGATCTGCACCCTCATCTCGTCCCTGTCCTAATTCTGTAGAAGGATGGATTTCTGATACAGATGGCCAACAAGATTTTTTGACCTACTGGAAGGAACGTGCTATTATTTCTCCTAAGTTTCTTATTGGTGAGCAATTCATCAATAGGGGATTCAATTTTCCCAACCTTCTTGAAATTCAAGGAGTTCTTCCCTTCATCCAAATGCAAGGTACTTATTATCCTAACTTAGTTAGGGTATTTTACTCTAGATTTAAATTTAGAGATCAAATTGCTACTTCTAGAGTAAAGGGTGTCACAATTATTCTTGACGATGATATTTGGGAAAACATCGCTCACTTTCCAATTAGAGAAGATGCTATTAACATTTATGGTGAGTTAGATGATTTTGACAGGTTCTTAGCTTACCGCTCTTTTCTGCGAAATCCCTCCATGGAGATTTGGGCGTCTCCTTCTTGTTGGTCCTCTGAAGAAGGAGGAACGCATGATTCTACATCTAATTGTCTGGATCCTCTGTCCCGGGCTACGAATCATGCTCAATGTTCTTCAATTGATCTTAGGATTATTCATGCCATAATGAATAATGAGCCCTTAGATTGGGGCGTTCTTGTCACCATGACTATGTTAAAAGCCAAACGCCATCCCACTTTCAAAATTCCATATGCTCTCCTTGTCTCTTGGATTCTTGAATACAAAGGAGTAAATGTCGAAGGTGAACAAACAATAAGAACAAATAACTTAAATCGCATGCTTGACAGCACATTGATCCAACTACAAATGGTGCGTGTCAACGACATCTATGTTCACAAGGATGACGTTTCGAATCAAGGTGGTGACAATGAAGATTCTGATGAAGATATGCCTCCTGCTGCTGAGTTTCCCTCTGATCAAATCCAAAGTGTTGGAACTTCCTCTACTCATCATGAAACCCGACAATCCATGGAAGACATGTTATCAGACATGAATCAGAGAATGCAGTCATTCTTCACTCTTTCTGGAGTACGGCATGAGGAAATAATTCATCGTATATCTGATGTAGATGATAAAGTGTGCCATTTAGAAAATAGATTTGATGCACACTTTCATAGTGATGATAGTGAAGAATTTTAAATTTGTTGTTATTTTTCTTCTTCTTATATTGTCATGAATGCTTATCTCTGAAATAAAATGTGATGTTCTGTTATTGCTTTGATTGAGGGGGAGTTTTCTCTAAGTTCTGCACATTTTGAGGGGGAGCTCTCATGTTTATAATAGAAGAATTATTTTTTATTCTAATCAAAATAGGGGGAGAAAATATTTAAAGCCTAATATGATTGTTTTTAAATATTATCTGGTATGTTAAATGTGTTTGTTAGTATGACAGATAAAACAGGTTATTACAAGGCTTTAAAAGATAATTTTGATCATCATCAAAAAGGGGGAGATTGTTGAACATTCAAGGACTTGATGTTGCACTTGATGGACATGAAGCTTGTTGAATTTGATGATGATTCAAGAACACAAAGACTTAGAGTGTTGAAGACTTGTTTTGTATTGTAATAACTCTGTTTTAATTAGATTGAGTCTGTAATATTAGAGTTTAAGATAGCCGGTACATAGTCTGCACCTTAGAAGCTTCAAAAAGCTCAAATTTATCATCCAGGCTCGGCTTTAATCGATTAAATAGGGAAATAATCGATTAAAACAGTGAGAAAAACCATTTTTTTGTATCTGCTCACTGGTTTAATCGATTAAACCACCTGTTAATCAATTAACAACCCTTTTAATCGATTAAAACAGTGTGTTTTAGGGTTTTGTTGATTTTGGCTCTGTAATAATCGATTAATACTTCATTTAATCGATTATTTCAGTCAGATTTTGATTTTTAACTTTAAATCAACCCTATTTTAGAAAACCCTTTTCCCAAGAACCCTAATTCTGAAATTCCCAATTCCCAAACCCTAATTTCTCTACTTAAGCTTCTCTATGGCACTCAGAAAATAAGAACAACCTTTTTCATACAAAAGTTAAGTGTTGTAGTGCCAGAGAACTGTTTGTTGCAAGAAAAAGGGGCTTTTGGAACCTGGTGTGGGCTAGAAGCGATAAGAATCACTAAGTGGAGTTCTTAGTGGATTGTGTGTTGTGCCGTCTCTAGGGAAAGTTGTTCTTCATCTCTTGTGGATTTCAAGAGAGGTGTTTTCTTATCTTTATCTTTTCAATTGTAATTTGTTTGTAACAACTTGATTATAGTGACAGCGTTAATCTTCTGTTTGAGTGATTAGCAACTGGACGTAGGGTCTTTTGATCCGAACCAGTATAAATTTCCTGTGTAAGATTCTCCTCTCTTCTCTATTTACATTTACACAGTTTTTAATCAGTAAAATTTGGGAAAAATTTTGAAAACCTAATTTTTATTAAGAAACCAATTCACCCCCCCTCTTGGTTTTTGTCCGACCACGCGAACATTCCGCTGCGCGATTCTAACAACTTTACAGCACGTGGAGGCTAGTGTCCTATACTCAGCTTTGGAAGAAGATCTGGATATAGTGCTTTGTTTCTTCATTTTCCAAGAGACCAACGAATCTCCAAGGAAGATACAATATCCAGTAGTGGAACGATGAGTGATTGAACAAGAGGCCCAATTAGAATCACTAAAAGCTTGTATATATTTTTTTTTTTCATTTTTGGGGTAGAAAATACCTTGGGAGGAAATCATTTGATGTATCTTAACACTCGTTGGACAACTTGATGATGATGTTTCGATGGAGCTTGAAAAAACTAGCTGAGAAATTGTACAGCAAAACTGATGTTTGGTCTTGTGTTGACTAGATATAGTAAACGTCCTATGATCTTTCTATGTGCAGTAACATCATACACATCAATGTTTTGTTCAAACAAATTTGCATTCTTCTTAATCATAGGAGTTGAGACGGCTTAGCATTAAGCATGCCTACATCTACAAGAATATCGACGACATATTTTCTTTGGCAAACATGTATTCCTTTATGTGTTCTAGCAATTTCTAATCCAAGAAAAAACTTCAATTGTCTAAGGTCTTTGATCTTGAAGACAGTGTTGAAAGCTTCTTTTACGTTTGCAATATCTCTTATGTTGTTTCCTGCTAATATAATGTCAACTACATATACTACCAATATGGTTATGGATGTTGTAGTGTGTTTAATAAACAAAGAATTATCTGCTTTTGATTGGCTAAAACTAAGAGTATGTAAATAGGAGATGAGTTTCTCATACCACTGTTTACTTGCCTGCTTTAAACCATATAGGGATTTTTTTAGGCAAGAAACTTTGCTATATTTTTCACAAGAAGAGTAAACATTAATACCTCGAGGAAATGTCATGTAAACCTCCTCATTTAGGTCATCGTGCAGAAAGGCATTGTCGGCATCTAACTACTTCATGAACCAATTTTGAATGGCAGCTACAACAAGGATAATCCGAACAGTGGTAAGTCTCACAATTGGAGAATAGGTATCAAGATAGTCTATGCCCTCTTGTTGTATACAACCTTTCACAACGAGCCTAGCTTTGTATCTTTTGATTGTTCCATCTGCCTTTCTCTTGATCTTGTATACCCATCTATAAGGTATTTTTCCAAGGGGAAGATCAACTATTTCCCATGTGTTATTAACTTCGAGAGCTTTAATTTCAGTTGCCATGACTTTTATCCATTCTGGATCTTTAGCAACCTCTTCAAACGATTGTGACTCACTTTGACATGAAAAAGAAAGAGTGTAATTGAGTTATCTATCAGATAAGATTTTGTATGAAAGTATAAAGTCAATGGAATGACGTACCTTTTTTGGTTGTGACTTTTATTTTTAAGAGACATTTAAAGTTATCGATGATAGTCTTTGAGAAACTTTGGAGCTCTACGGGCTCGAGTAGATCGTCTTATATTCTCATTTAGAGCTTCTTCCTTGGTATTGTTGTCTTGTACATCATTCCAACTTTCTTCAAATTGATAATCATCAACCATGGGTTCCAAAATATTATCATAACATCCAATCTTTTCTTTGATAGTGTCCTTAAAGATTTGTCAAAAAATATTTTCATTGAAAACAACATTTCTTGGAACAAAAATCTCTTTATTATTTGAATCAATGACAATATAGCCTTTGGTTCTAACTTTTAATCCAAAATGTATACACTTCCTAGTCCTTGGATCAAGTTTATTTCTATTATGCTTAAGAATGGAAGCAAATCACAAGCAACCAAAGACTCTTAAGTCTGAAAGACCAAGTATGTAATCATGCAACATTTGGAAATGACTTTTATTGTGAATAATGGGTGAAGGTAAATGATTAATAAGGTGAATAAAATGACTAACATCATAGGACCAAAAAACCTCAGTATGTTATATTGAAACATAAGACGTGTTACGTTAAGAATATGTTGATGCTTTCATTTGACTATAGAATTTTGTTGAGGTGTCTCTACACAAGCGGTATGATGTAGTATGCCATTTTCACTTTAGAATTCTTGCCAACAAAACTCCTGACCATTATCAGTCCTAATTATTTTAATATCTTTGTTAAATTGGTTCTTAACAAGTACAAGAAAACTACTTAACAGACCCCTTATTTCACTCTTGCATTTCATCAAATAAACCCAAGTGTATCGTGTGAAATCATCTACAATAGTGAGGAAAAACTTATGGCCATGTATGGAAGTTGTTCTAAAGGGGCCCCAGATATCCATATGAACAAGATCAAAAGCACTGTTGGTTTTGGTTTTGCTAAGTTGAAAAGGGAGCCTACATTGTTTGGCCAAATGACAAGGGGTGAAAACATCTATTTTATTAAAACATACACAATCATATATTTTTTGTAATTGTTCCATAACTTTGTTTAAAGGATGACCAAATCTACAATGCCAAATATCAACTTTGTTATCATGTTTGAAACTATTACTACCCTGCATAAAGGAAACCATACATTTATTAACAGAGAAGTGGTATAGCCCATTTCGCATCTTAACTTGACCAATCGTCTTGAAGGTATCCTTCTCCTAAATCTGACATTCATCATGAGAGAAAACAAGTTAACAATGGCATTAACCAATTTATGTGCAGATATTATATTAAGAGTAAACTCTGGTATAAATCAAACATTATGAAGAATCATATGCTTAGAAAAACTAACAATCCATACATATCTAGCAACAACCTGATTGTTATTAGGATGTTTGACATTTATAGGTTTAATTTTATGATAACTTATGAACAAAGAAATGCAGGAAGCCACATGATCTGTGGCTCCTGTATCAAGGATCTAGAAAATCTTACTATTATTACCTTTTTGTGGATGTTGTATAGAATTCTCACCAAAGTTGTTAATAGTCCTTTCAGGTTGTATGAGTTTTCTAGATTGAATGATACGAGTAATTTGTTCAAGTTACTTAGGACTCAACTCCTTCAAAATTTGTTCATTTTCATTCCGTTTCTCAATAGAATTTTCTTCATTCTTTTCTATGGTGTTTGTGGTGTGATTATACCTTTGCTTCATCCATGGTGGATAACCGTGCTTGGAATAACACTCATCTATCGTATGATTCATCTTATTGTAAAAAGAGCATTATTTTCCATAGTTCTTTCCTCTTCCTCTCCCATATCCTTTCCATCCTTGAGATCCATTTTCGTTCTTAGTGTCATTCTTTGGATTCTATTTGTCTAGTATTGTTGATAAGAACTTGTTGGTAAAATTTGGGTCATGTATATATATGATACATAATTTAAATGTGTTAGGGCCATTATTTATTAAGCAAAATAATAAAGTGATCTGACTAAATTAAAGTTTTGGCTAAAGGCATATGTCATGAAAATAAAATTGTGTAGAGACCATAGAGCAATTTCTAATTTGATGAGGGGCCAAATTGGAAATACTAAAACTTAAGTAATTAACCTAATTCTGGTTATCTAAAGGGTCATGATCCCCTTTTGGGAGCACACACACAGAACGTAAGTATCAGTCTCGTTCCTTTCTTTCTATCCCCATCAAGAGAAAAAATCAAGAGGGAAATACAGGTGCTCTTCAGGTGGAAGACCATAAGATCAATATAGTGCTCTACAAAGACATCATCGTTATGGCTAATTCAGGTACGCTTTCGCATTCAGTTTACAACATGTTTATCAGTATGAGATTATGTTTATGTTTGATCGTTAGAATCAAAATCAGGATTATTATTATTATTGTGTTTTCCAACAATTGGTATCAGAGCCGCCCATATTTCATTCATGTCTGTTTAATTTATAGAATCCTATTTATGAAAATTATGCTTAATTTTGTTTTAAACAATTCAAATTACCCAATTTTATGAACCCTAAGTGGAGGATAATCTCTAATTTTTGTGAACCCTAAAATTTAAATTTGGGGGTAACATCCCCAATCTGATTCTACTTGCTGATGGAACCGTGGAGGAAGCTATGGATTCTTCTTCTTCTTCGTTTTTCCCTTTTGTTTCAGTTTAAATTTCAAGTTTTACTGAGAAAGAAACAGTGTTTCAAATTTCAATTTTTTTTGTATTGGGTTCTCTTTTCTTTTTTGAATCTTTTGTTTTTATTTAATTTTATGGGTTTGGAATTGGGAGTGATGTTTGGGAAATTCCCAACATAGAGGATCTTAGGCAACTGGTGAATGTTTCCACATGTGTGGCTGTTATTATTTTATTGCCTCTATCCCCTAGGAATTTAAGGAAAATTTGATGTTAAATTAGGGTCTGAGTGATTACTGTTTAATTCCCTTTTAGGATTTAGAGCAGTATGCTAAAGAGACTTAGAACTATCTCTGTTTCATCCCTAGTGTGATTTTAGAGAGATGTTCATCCTTTATGTATTGGTGGAAAATGAGGCCTTTTTTTCATCCTTTGATTTATTCAAATGAGGTGTTCATCCCTAATGAGATTTTAGGGAGGTGTTCATCCTTAGTAGAATTCTAATGAGGTGATTCTCTTTTGAATTAGTTTGCAAATATTAAATATTTGGTTTTGTTATATAAATAAAATATTCAATTTTTGGTAGTTTAATATTTTTTGTGAGCAAATTGAGTCAAGAAGTCACCAAAGTAACTTCTCTTGACTTGGGCAGTTCATGAAAAATATTGAATGTTAGTGTTTGTGTATATTCATGCGAGTATTAGTCAGCCCAAAGGAAGATTAATATTTGGCCGAATTGCATACACACTTGTAATGATAAACATGTGATAATTATAAAGATTTGCTTTGTCGATGATAAATCAATCCAAAGACTGGTTTGTTGTTGGACGTGCTTTATTGTCAATGTTTGATTATTACAACAAGTACCTCTAGCAGTTAATATTACTGTCCAAAGACTTGATATTGATGATGCATTGGGTGTCTTGAGATGGGTGAAACCACTATTTGAATATATATTATTTATTTTTTATATAATGTGAGCATAATTAGTTTATTTCTCGTGTTCTAAATTCAGCTACAATTGCTTCTGTATCTGCCAATTTAAATTCTGTTCCGGTCCTCAATGGAACAAATTTTAAGGACTGGAAAGAGAACATTGATATTGTTCTTGGTTGCATGGATATGGATCTTGCGTTAAGGACTGAGCAACCCCCTACTCCTACGCATTCAAGTACCTCTGAACAGAAAAGAGATTATGAGAAGTGGGATCGCTCAAATCGCATGAGTCTAATGATCATTAAGTGTGGCATCCCGGAGGTGTTTAGGGGCACTGTTTCTGAAAACATCACAAGTGCCAAAGAATTCCTTGCTGAAATTGAGCAGCGCTTTGCAAAAAGCGATAAGGCGAAGGCAAGCACTCTTCTTCAGAACTTGATCTCCATGAAATATCAAGGCAAAGGAAATATCAGGGAGTACATTATAAGCATGTCTAATATTTTTTTTAAACTCAAGGCACTAAAGCTTGAACTCTCAGAAGACTTGTTCATTCATTTGGTGTTGATTTCTCTTCCTGCAACGTTTAATCAATTTAAGGTATCTTACAACTGTCAGAATGATAAATGGTCTCTTAATGAGCTCATTTCACATTGCATACAAGAAGAGGAAAGACTAAAGCAAGACAAGACAGAAAGTGCTCATTTTGCAAGCACCTCCAAGGCTAAGGGCAAAAGAAAGAGATCAGAGGATCTCGAAAAAGAAGGTGCTAAGGGTCCAGAACAAAAGAAACAAACTCAAGAAAACAAATGTTTCTTTTGCAATAAGACTGGACACATAAAGAAGAAATGTGATAAATATCATGCTTGGCGTGAAAAGAAGGGTTGCCTAAACTACCGGAAGCCAATTGATTCTGAAAGATGGATTTATGTTGGAGATGGAAAATTGGTAGAGGTGGAAGCTATAGGGCATTTTAAATTGTTATTAAGTACTGATTTTTATTTGGATTTGAAAGACACTTTTGTTGTGCCGTCATTTAGACGGAATTTGGTTTCAGTTTCTTATTTGGACAAATTATGTTATTTGTGTTCATTTGGAAACAATAAGTTTAGTTTGTCTTTTAATTCAGATATTGTTGGAACTGGTTCACTTTTGATTTATGATAATCAGTATTTACTTGATATTGTGGTCACCTATAATGAAACCCTTAATACAGAATCATGTGGTACTAAACGTAAAATTGAAAATACTCACTCAAGTGCATTATGGCACAAGTGTTCAGGTCACAATCAAATCGTGACGTTTGGGCTTGTATTACACTCTTAAAGATATGGTAGAGAGTATGATTTGTCATTCCACCTTACAGGAATCACTTTGAGGAGAGACACTAAATACGACAGCTTATATTCTAAACAGAGTACCAACTAATGCAGCTACCAAAACACCTTATGAGCTTTGGATTGGGCGATAACTTAGTCTGAAGCATTTCCATGTGTGGGATTGTCCAACTGAGGCAAGACCTTATAAGTCAAATGAAAAGAAATTGGACTCCCGAACAGTAACTAGTTATATTATTGGTTATGCTGAAAGATCCAGGGGATATAAATTTTATGATCCCACATTAAAGACAATTTTTGAGACGGGAACTGCTACGTTCTTTGA